TTTCTTTTTTTTTTCTTTTTTTTGTAACTTCTATTTGTGAACTGTTTTGGCAGTTAAAATTGGCAGGCCTGGGTATCGGGTGACTAAGCAGTTTGACCCGGAGACGAAACAGAGATCCTTGCTTTTCCAGGTATTTATTCAGTCTTCCTCGCATCTTGTTGCGTATGAATAACATCATTCAAGGCTTAATCTTGTTGGAATAAAGAAATGCGTACAAGTTGTGTGCATTTTCTGTTTTGATATATTTGGTCATAAACCTGTTCACTTAGCTTTGTTGTTGATTATTTAAACATCGGCACAGTACATTATGCGATAGATGGATTAATGTCAGATATGTTGTCTCTCACTTTCACAGCTGTTTAGTAATTTTCTTGGGATATTGTTTTTTATGCTGTCATATATGTTGTGTTCTGGTGCATGTGCATTACTTTGTTTGGTGACTGATGTGCGTTGATGAAAGGCGACTTTGTAAATAAGATTGTACTTCTTACATTCGTTGCATCTCTCAGGTTAAATAAATTCAAGCCCCTTAATCTTTGCTTTTATGGCTTTCTGTAATTTATTTCAGTATTATTCTCTTAAAGATTGAATTTGTATGTAATTTTCCTGAGTAATATGATGCGTTTTGCAGATAGAGTATCCCGAGATTGAAGATAATACAAAGCCAAGGCATCGATTTATGTCATCTTTTGAGCAGGTATTTTTACCTCATTGCAGATCACCTTATTTATAAATTTCCTATTCTTCTGGCACCTTTTTTATCATGTACATATTTTGAACAATACCATTGCGATTATATTTTTTTACTCTTGCTTCTTCACACGCAGAAAGTCGAACCATTTGACAAAAAATATCAGTATCTTATATTTGCTGCCGAACCTTATGAAAACATAGCATTCAAGGTAAATAATCCAGTTCCAGTTCCATGAGAGTTTAAATACCCCAAATTTATGTTTTGATCACGCCCATCTGTTTGCTTATGATTATTTAGGTCCCAAGCACAGAGATCGATAAATCAACCCCCAAATTCTTCACCCACTGGGACCCAGACTCAAAGATGTTCACTGTAAGCATCTGGACTCCTTTTCCTTTCACTAGAAAACCCTGTTTGTGATATTAAAACCAAAAAAAAAAAAAAAAATGAAAACATATTAATGTCGTCCCATGCCTGAATGTACAGTTGCAGTTATATTTCAAGACAAAGCCACCGGAGGCGAATAAACCTCAGCCACCACCGCCTGCAGCTAATGGCACAGCAGCTCCGGGGCCTCTGCCACCGCCGCCCCAAGGCCTTCCACCAGCACCACCGCAAGGACCTCCTCCTCCCGGGCCACCCACTGGAAACCCTCCTCGGCCACCGTCATCCATGCCTCTTCCTCCCCCTCCTATGGCCAATGGGCCTAGGCCCATGCCACCTGGCGGGAATTTATCCGCTCCACCGCCTCCGCCAGCTGGCGGTGGTCCTATGGCGGCAAACTTTACTCCTGGCATGCAGATGGGAAGGCCTCCCATGCCGCCACCTCAAGGATTCCCGGGTCAACAAATGCAGGGGCAGTACCCACCCCCTCCGCCACCTAACATGGGTTGAGTTCTGAAGACATTCATTCAGTGATTTTGTGTTGTTTGGTGTATTGACGGAGAATTGTCAGATTGCGGTCAGCTTTCTGCAACTATAAACGCTTTATTTACGTTTGAATTGTAGAATGGCTGAACAAAGCTTGGTTGTGGTAATTTTATTACAAAAGTGAAGTTTGTGAGTTGATCTGTTATGATTGTTTCTGACTTTTAAGTTTGTAAAATTGTCCAATCCACTGTATTGAGTTTGGACGGGATGCTTCTGATTCATCTTCAGTAATGCTCCGTTTTAAACGTATTTACTGATGTAAATTTACTGATTGAAAGTGAATATTCTTGCCTAGTATTTTGGCGCAACATGAGCTGGAACAGTGTTACTACCGTGCGCCCTGGCACACCTAGCAAGGTGTGCCAAGGCAATTTAAAATGAACATGTTACGTTATAAAATGAACATGTGTAAACATGTTTATTTTAAAAAAGACTTAACACACCTTGCTAGGTATGTCAGGGTGTACCTAATTATTTGCGGAGCTGTAATACATATGATTCGACATGGAACAAAAGAAATGGGATCTGAAGCTTTATTTACCACCTACTGTAATGAAAAGAAAGAGAAAAATTATGAGAAAAAGCTAATGCAAAGAGCTCCCGCAAGGACAGTGTATATCACACACAAAAAAAACTAGACGAAAATTACGAAAAAAGCTTATGCAGAGTTCCCACAAGGACAGTATATATCACTCAGGTCCCCGAGCACTGTTTGAAGGAAAAACCTTCTTAATGAATTGCAAGAACCGTTCTGAGTAGAACGTGGGATTCACAGCTGAGATCGACACCGAATCAAACTGCATAGACTTGTACTTGTGCTCGATCTTTTTGCTCATGTTGTACTCCTGTAGTATGTCGATTATGCCCAGATACAGGACAACATCATACACCTCGTGAAACATCTTCGTACCATTGTCTCCCGGAATATGCTCGGCTCTTGCAGGCATATTCACTCCAAGCTGGATCTGCAGCCTGTTAAACGAACCCGAATTAACACAATCTAACCCAAGAAAAAAAAAAGGAACAAAAAAAAAAAAAAACTTTTATTATCACGTAAGAACAGATTATACCTAGCTGTACCAGGAAGGAGGAGATCTACTTCCTTGTCCCCAGTCGAGGAAGATGTCCGCAATCGGCTGCCTCTAATATGTGGGCCCACGACTACACTACTCTCGTCCGACCCACGAGGAACCAAAACAAGTCCCTGTGGAGATATTTCATCCTCCATCGACTCTGGTTCATTCGAGTATATCAGCAAATAGTTATTGTACCAGCACAAAGTTAAAACATTTTTTGCTGTTACCATATTTGCCGTAGAATTTTGTGGCTGGTGACTTTACCTTCTTCGGCAAGGATTCCCAGGCCATCAACCGACATCCGCTGGCTATAAGACAACAAAGAACATAGATGTTGGGGTGCTCGATAATGGACGCCTAGCAAGAGGCTGTAGTCCATTATGTTCTCTGACTCCAAGAATTTGCTATCGATTTCAATCTGCCTGAAGAAAATTATTGCTCTAATCACTGAGGTACAGTACAAACTAGATGACAATCTAAATGATGATAAGTGATTAAATAAACTGCATATTGTTAGTGTTCATACTGCAGGAGGGCATCTCGCCAAGACGGTTCCAAGTAAAAGCAGTAGTTCAAATCGAGATCTTTAAGTATTGTATTCTCATCGATTTTAAATTTGTCAGCCGAACGTCCCAACGATGAACCTTTCAGGTCGAATCTCCGGTGAATCCTCAACTCCGTGCAGAACATATTTCCCATTACCACGAACCGGAACTGCAAAATACAACAAGAATTTTGTTCTAAAGTTAGCCTAACGTCAAGAGATCAAGTTCTTTTGACCCTAATCAAGCAGTATTTGGCTAAAACTTCGTTTTACCTTCTGACCACTGGAGGGCTTAATCCTGTGAAGACCGAAAAACTTTGTTACAAGAGTGTTTTCGTACCTTCGCACATGATGATGATAGTTGGGGAGCATCCGTAACAGAACCTTAAAGTCGAGATGATTAACAGTTGTATCAGTTCCAAAATCAAGAAACATAAAACTAGGTGGGAGTTTGTAAGATCCAGAGAGACTAATTAAACCTTAACTTCCGATTTTCGCAGTGTTTTGATCATGAAACGATCGTCTTGAGACAAGAAGAAGACACTCCCGCTTTTTCCGGGGGAAGAGAGTTCTCTTAGCGCATCATTTCCACATATCGACATCATATAGTCCGCAGCATCAATCTTAAACATCTCCCTCAGATTCCTATAAGTGCAAACGAAAACAAAACATAAGGAAAAACACGAAAACCGAAGTTGATATTAAGTTCGGACAAGATTCGAGGTAATGAATGTGATGCATCGCCATTACAAACCTGAAAACCATCGGACAATAATCTTTCCACTTAAAATCCTCAGACTGATGGGGCGGTGTGAGCTGTGATCCCTCCTTAGGAAAGGTCATCCAAAAGCTTGCCCGTGGACCGAAATCACTTGCCCGGGCTTCTCTTCTCTGTATGGGAGTAATTTTCCCTACAGTATATCTGGACATATAGCAAAGGCAAGAAAGTCATGACTTAAGTTCTTCATGAATTGGCCAATTTTCACTATTTTCAGGAATCATGCTCAATTTTTCATCTCTATTACTTGTTTTCAGTTTTCAAACCAACGATCTCGACTAAAAACCGAAACATATCCACACCTTATCCCGAGCTGCAAACTCAGCATCAGATCGTAACTCCTGTGGCCCTTGAGAATCTGCTCGCCCGGCCTCTTAATCTCCCTAGCCAGCTTCCTCTGCCGTCTTTTCGCCCTTTTCGAAGGCGGCGAAAACCGATCGCTCAACACTATCTCGCTAATCAAAACCCCTTGCATGTACTCCCTCTCCAATATCACCGGATTTTTATCGACTTCTTCTTTAAAATCCCCTCCTTCCCGGAAACTCTCGGATACACTCAACGACCGAGTGTGCCCCAACACCTTCTCAATCGACGCCTCCAAGCTCCACCGCCTCTCAATCGACACATTCTCTGCCCGTGATGCCCTAGCCTCCCCCATATGCGAAACCCGATTCTGTTTTCCAAAATCCGGCAACAACCCGTTTTTCCGTAAAGCGTCGAGATACGACTGCTGTCCAGCTGGCAGCCGGGTACCTCTCGGGTAGAAAGTCCCATTCCCATCCTTGAGCCCGCGAGTCCACATCCCGACATAACAACCCCTGTCGGCCCACGTGTAGACCCCAAACCCATGCATCATCCCATCAAACCAGCTCCCCTCGTACGAGTCCCCGTTGGCCCACGTGAGAGTCCCTTTTCCGAACATCCTCCCGTTTTTCATATTCCCGACGTAAACATTTCCCTGGGCCCACGCATACTTCCCGGGCCCTTCTGGAACACCACGAATCCACGTCCCTTCGAAAACGTCCCCGTTCGGGAAGCTCTGGCAGCCCAGCCCATGCTTCTGGCTAAGTCTCCACCGGCCCTTGTAAACCGAGCCGTCCGGTCGGGAGTGAGTCCCACTTCCGTGCAGGTATCCACCGGAGAATTCGCCGGAGTAGACCGCGCCGGAAGGCCACCTGAGCTTCCCACGGCTGTGTCTCATCCCGGCATGCCACTCGCCGTCGTACGTGCAGCCGTCGGCCCACGCGTACTCGCCCGGGCCTTCGGGCGTGGACCCGAAGAGGGACCCCCAGTAGGAGGAGCCATCGGGCAGGAGGATTTTGCTGCTGCCCGTGAGACGGTTCGGTCCGGGCCCGAC